CATGTGAGGGAATAGTAAGGAGGATAAATTAACCCTTGTAACCTCCTCCATATATAATGCAATACAATTCTGTAACTGCATTGAAGAATAATATTACTTGGGACCCTGACTGTCTGAAAAAATGGGGCAAGAGGAGACTCATGAAGTTCAACAAAGGGAAATGCAGAGTCCTACATCTTGGGATTAATAACCCCATGCAGCAGTAGAGGCTGAGGACCAACCAGCTGGAAAGCAGCTTTGCAGAGAAAGACCTGGGGTCCTGGTAGACAAGAAGCTGAACATGAGTCAGCAATGTGCCCTCACAGCAAAGGTGGCTAACAATATCCTGGGCTACACTAGGAAGAGTGATGACCGGTCGAGGGAGGTGACCTTTCCCCTCTACTCAGCCCTGGTTAAGGCCACACCTGGAATGCCAAGTCTTGTTTTGTGCTCCCCAGTACAAGGCAGACGTGGACATACTGGAGCAAGTCCAGCAAAGGGCCATAAAGACATCTAAGGGACTGGAGCATCTCTCATATGAGGAAAGGCTGAGAAAGCTGGAACTGATCAGCCTGGAGAAGAGAAGGCTCATGAGGGGATCTTATCAATGTGTATAAATAACCTGATGGAAGGGAGTGGAGAAGATGGAGGCAGACTCTTCTCAGTGGTATGTAGCGAAAGTGTGAGAGGCAATGGGCACAAACTGAATGCAAGAAATATTTAACCAACAACAAAAAAAGGTTTTTCAGAGTAAGGGTAATTGAACACTGGAACAAGTTGCCCAGAGAGTCTGTAGAGTCTCCATAAGATATTCAAAACCTGACTGTAGTCCTGAGCACCCTGCTGTAGCTGACCCTGCTCTGAGAGGGGGAGTTGGACTAGACAGTCTCCTGACATTGCTGCCAACCTCAACTATCCTGTGGTTCTGTATAAAACTAGGTCAATCGTTACAGAAGCTACCTTCTTACCTTAAGTGAAAATCTGAAGTATAGAAGGCTAGAGAGAGCTGTGGAAACTTTATTGAAGCAACAACAATCAATCAGCTTTAACCAAGCAAACATACTGCATTTAGGTTGCATAAAACCTTTCCTTTGTAGCAAAATGCTAATTAGAAAAGCTCAATTATGGTCTTTGTAAATATCCCTTTAAAGACGTTTTTAATGATTCCTTAAGCTAAAATAAATAACCTCGAAATCTGCCCACAGTACCCTGCTTCTAGCAGCTAAATAAGAATGAATTATTATGTTTAAAATCTAAATAAAAAAACCTGCATTGCTAGAAGCTAACTGAATATCCATCCACCTCAATTCACTGGAAACCTGATCTTTGAAAAGGTGTGTGGGGACATCATTCCAGTTGAATGCCTCACCACCATGAAAGCAAATTAAACTTGAGGCAATCATTTGCTCTCTGGTTACCAATACCCTCTACAGTAGAACCACTTGCCTTCTTTAACAGATTGCACTAAAAATCAGTGCACTGAAAATAGCAGAGGAAACAAAGAAGGAACTTGAAAAATGCATTATGACTCTGGTCATCACAATAAGTGAATGACTTCCAGGTGTATTCCATACAAGGCTGAAAAATGCAAACAACATTACAGGTTTTCTTTAGAGAAAAATAAAGCTGATTAAAAAAAAAGCTGATTTGATACAAGAAAAACTGCACATTACTGTTGCAAATGCAACGTCTTACTAGAGGCAGTTAGAATCGCTTTTGCATACCTTAAAGCATGAATTAATGACAAGGAAACAGACTTTGTACAGAACTGTATGCTGAGCCTGACATAATCTTCAGTCTATGGGGGACATCAGCCCACAGACCCCCAGCTCTAGCTTTCCTCAGTATGAAAACCATGACCTTTTTTTTTTTTCCCCTTCCTTTCTGACATGTACATGCCAAGCGTGCTCAGGCTAACTCCATGGCCAACCATTTAAAATATAAATGCTTAAAAACAGTCAGAATCTCAAGTTTACATTTAGTCATTCCAGGTGGCATCCAGCCTGTGAGTTAGGTCATGAGACTTAACTAGTTTTTCAGACACACTTTAAAGAACTGTTTCTGAGAGAAGCCCACCCCTCTACCTCTAAGTCCACTTTAACTCTAAGAATACATCCCTAAATTGAGAGTTTAGAAAGATTATTAACAGTAAGAGGACAAGAATTTGGTGCTTAAATGTTCTCTGTAGCTTTGAAAAGTACCCCATTAAAAAAAAAATAGAGAGGTTTTAATTTCCAGAAAAGCACACCAGCTACAAAACTCGGGAAGACCGTGTGAAAGCAAAATTTGCCTCCTTAGAAACAGGGGGGTTTTAAATTTAAAATGACTAATTGTGCATTTAGAAGCTTAAAGTACAGGCATGTAAATATTTTGAATTTTTTTTTTTTTTTAAAAAAAGGCTTTTCATCCTTACTAAATCAGAGAATCTTCGTGAGTAATGCTATCCCATTGCTATTTTGGTGCAGCAACAATGAATCACCTTTGTTACTTAAAATATCCATTCTGAAGAATGCCAAATTACCATGATTTGTCCTGGCATGAGTGTCAGCCAGAATTATTGAGCAGTTGGACCATGGACATCAGGATTTTCAAGGGCACAAATGGACTCCTGCTGCTCAGGTCCATGTACCTACTTCTGGATGTTCATCATATAATGGCTTGTTGCTTTTGAAACTCAAATAAAAAGCAGCAGCTACCATACTGAAGTCTTCTAAGTCTCTCTATCCTTGTGGAAAACGTTAACGTTGTGAAGGGGAAATCAAAAGCTGTCTTGGAATTTGCTACCAAATTTCAAGCAAAAAAAAGTTTTTGTTTCAAAATTTTGTTAGTGTCTCCCTGTAACTCTAGTTCAGATGTCTTGTGCTCCTCTTCTCTTCCAAAGCTCAGTGTCTCTAGACTATCCTCTCCTAGTACATTCCAGACATCCTCACTGAGCCAGCGTAGGTGTCCCTGTTAATAACATGTCATGAGAAACAGGACTTAGCTGAGAAACTGTAAAAAAGTTAGAAACAGGAGACATACAAACTACATTTCCTAATAAGGGGTTTATAACTTATTTGACTTCTCACTAAAAACAGGGAGAATTATTATTTTAATGTAATAATGTACATTTTTACATATTTTTTCCAAGTCTCTGTCAGGGCCTCGAGCACACCAAGAGGCACTGCAAATTCTTCACCCTTGCTCCCATGAGTCTGGCCACCTGCGCTCAAGGGCAGCTCTGACACTGCACAACTCTGTAACCTTGGGTAAGGCTATGGTGACAGTGCTGCGTGAGAAAGAGTTGGGAGAAGCCTTGTTAGGCTCCTCCACCCTTCACTTGGGAGCTACATTAAAGCCTGAACGGCGCTTAAGCCTTTAGTCCTTGCCTGAGATAAGTTACTGGTGCCTGTATCTGGCCAGGTACCTCACTGATCTTGACCCACAGATCTGAGTTCCTGGCTTGACCTTGGACTTGGCTTATCACTACAGACTCACCTGGAGATCTGAACTCTTGGCTTGACCCTGTTCACTGTCACTGGACCTGCTCTGCTCTCTTTGTTCAGGTACTGTGGAACTGCTCCTTTGTGGGTGATATCACTGCCCTGCCTGCCTTGCTGTGGACTCCCAGCTCAGTTCTGTTGTGGAGCAGCTCACTCTTGCTTCTACCTAAGAATGTCAAATTCAGTTGTCAATTGGAAAAAAAATGAAATAAAAATCAAATAGCTCTTCAGACAGCACTTGATGAAAGGTGGGTGGTTCTTTCTACTAATGTTGCTATTAATTCAGCCCAAAAAGTTTGAGAGGGATATAGTATGTTCACATATGTAAGTATAAAGATCAGTAGGAAGCTCAGACCAGCCTCTCAGTAACATCATGGCCTTCCTAGAGCTTTGGAATTCACAGTTTTAGTCACCATCTCTCTCAGTGATGCTCCATCAGAGACATAGAGCAAAAAGTGTCTGAGGCTTACGAGTAACACGACCTTATCCTGGGTTTGAACATTTTTTGTGGCAGATTCAGGATAGATCTTATCACTGTGTCTATATGTATATTTTTAACTCCTCCTTTATGTGACACAAAAGGCTTGGACCACTAGTCCTTGTCAGCAAACCAAGATAACCTCCCTCCTCTGCTTCCTCATCCAAGAACTGGTGCATTTTTAAAAGGCACCCTCCTGGAAGGCAGCAACTGACTTAAGACTACAGACTTCCACAGTATAACTGGTCTGGGTGGGGGGAAAAAAAAAAATCAAGTTTAAATCATTTTAATAACAACACTGGAGTAACAGTTCTTAACATTTCTGCATTACCTTTCACCCTGGAAACTCTAAGCTGCTTACACATTACACAAGCGAGTTTCACTGAACTGTTGTGAACTAGTTACCCATTCTGTGCACGCTGGTAAACCAATGCTGTGAGAGGTGCCAGGGACTTGCCTATAAACACACTGCTGGAAAATAAAAAACTCGACAGATGTAGGATTAATGATAACCTCAAAGATGGTACAGTTACTTCAACTTTTTTTTGTTTGTTTGTTTATTTAGGACAATCAAAAGCAGGAATTAAGCAGAGTCACACGTCAACTGATCCTGCCAGTATTATTTATAATTCAGATGATGGTACTATTTTTTTTAAACAGTTGCTAATGTTTTGGTAATTTTTATTATATTTTTTTACATTACCTCTCTTGGATGTTGAAAAATATAAGACACTGTGATTAAAACGTCCTTTCTCTTCTCAGTAAGGAGTCTGTAGGAATGTATTATGGGACAGTAAGATAACCTTCTCAGTGCCACAACAGTTTTAGTTGCTGTGATTTTGCAAGAGAGAGGTGCAATGCAGCAGCAAAGCATGTTGCTGCTGTGGAAGGGGTTTTTTTCAGGTCTCCTTTCTCTCAGAAGCTTGGTATGTTTGTCCCTGCCATCTGCTCCACTCGGCAGTTATTTTAATTGCTAAATTTCACATCAGGGCTCATCAAGACAAAACCCCCAACGTGCTACACAACATATAAGAATGAATTCGTGCAAGGTCTGTACTCACGCAGAAGTTGTCTGCATATCATGCCAGCTTCTGCTAAAGTTCTGCTTCAGTTCATTCATCAGACTTATGCCAAGCTTTTGTTTAATTTCAACCAGGTGCTTTTCTTTGGCTGCTAGCACTTGTCGCAAAGTTGAAATTTCATCCTCTAGCTGAGAGATACAAACAGGGAGGAGAGAGGAGAAAGGTTGTTAGCCTGTTCCACGGAACAATAAACACATACTAAGTCAAGAGATTAAATGACTCTCATACAAACTTGCATTTTTCTTAGGTAAGTAGAGAGACAGAGATATTTAGGTGCTTGTGGAGATCACAGACATGCCCAGAGCAGAGCTGACATATTAAATGAATATCTCAAACTGTGTCACCTATGTGCACCATCATACACACACAACTGATAAGAAGAGAATTCTCCAGTAAGGAAATGACTACAGAGCAACTTGACCAAGATCTGCCTTAGGGCATTAAGAGTCTCAAATACCAGCTTTCCATTCACTCGTAAAATGAGAATAGGCAGAACAAGAGAAGACTGGGTAATTCAGGCAGGTATCTCTGTTTGAACACACAGGGCTTTAACTTCATATTTGCAGCTTTTTAGTCTTCCACTCATGAAAGAGATAGATGCAAATTCTTAGGAGCAGGTTAAAAAAAAATAAAATTGCATGATAACATATGACTTGAGAGTATCATAAAAAGTTGCATCATTGTCACATGAGTTTTATCTATATTTTTTAGGCCCTACATATTTCAAAATAGTAAAATAAAAATATATGGCAGATGGACTGTTCACTTGAGTGAACAGGTCCTACTCAAAGCGTAGAATCATTCAGAAGTTGTAAAGATGTCATTCAGCCCAAACAGAGAGATGTAATTCTCCCTGCAGTGGACGTTATTTGAAGTATTCAAAGCAAGCCAGTGTCTTAGCAAGGCAAGGACCAGAACACTTGACTGAGAGGAGGGACCACTGAATCACCCTGCCGCTGGCTCAGGATCCTCCCCCTCGGGCAGCACATTCTTCCTCAGGAAGCCTCCCAAGCCAATTACACAAGCAGCACTCAGGGTACTGGAGCTAATGAGGGCAAGTGACATCAGAGCAGCTACCTTTTGCTTCAGGTTTAGAAGTTCCCTTACCAACTGTGTTCCTTCCTCCATATGCTAATAGGATAACATATGGTAATGTATCTGATTACCATATGCTAAGTTCCCTGGAACCACAGTCTCCCTGTGATTTAACTCCATAGGCTGCAGGGAGTGAGGCAAGCACCAGCTGAATCAGTTGCTGACCTCCAGGGCTATATTTAGGATGTCAGCATCAGCCTTATTTTTATTTTACACACTCGTGCATTCTGCTTCCTTGTAAATCTGGCTGCAAGCTCATCATTCTTGGAAAAGTCTCACCCTTAAATCCCCCAGCTATCAGTTTCTCTTTTGTCACCACCTTCTATCTAAATTATTCAAGCAGCTCGGGAATTAAGCAGCAAGACTATGAACACAAAGCAAAATCAAGACCTCAGTGAAGCAGACACCAGTACTGACCAATGCCTGTGAGGCCAGCACTTCACTGGTCGAACATACAACAATCCAAAACTGCTTTATTCCTTCCCATGTCCTTTATGACCCATTATATAAGAGGCAGCATGAGTTTCTGCTCTGAGAGAATACCTGGTTAAATGGTTACAGAAAGAAAAAATCACAAATGTCAGCATTCCTCAGGCAGCAGTTCAGAGCTCCCTTTAGTTGTTTCCCACCCACAGCAAATCCCTTAGCCCACAAGTCTGCCTGAGTAACACTGCTGAAGAACTTAACTTAAACCAATACCAGTGTGCTTACATGTACTTAAGCATTAATGCTTTCCATATGGGCTAGCACTAGGCTGATCATCAGGTACCTGAATATGTAAACATTTCAGGGCTTCTATTAAAATTACTTTCCGTCTGTTCCATTGAACAGACACCTAAAGGTGTAAAGCCCTAAGCAAGCAGTAACCATGTGCTCAATGGCACAAGTATGAACAACATTTTTTTATTTTATTAAAAAGAGTAAATTATTTTTCTTTAGAGTATCAGAGTTTGGTTTTGATTTGAGAAAATCCTCCTCAAGTTCCATCATTTTAAAATAACAGAAAATACAAAGCCTCCCTCAAGTGCTCAAATGGCAGTGACTGAAGACTGTGAAGTAGGCAGAAAGGATTAGGGACTTATAGTAGGATGCTGAGAAGCATTTAAGCAGTTACATACCTAACTCCCATGGAAGTCAGGCATCACCTGCTTAGGCATTTTTTAAAAGTCCACTGTTATAAATGCATTATGAAACTAGGGCTTAAGTCAACAGAAATACAAGCTTCTCCTCCTCATGCTTCCCTTTAGTGAAACAGGGTCAGAAGAACAGAGATGTATCATGTAGGGGCAAAGTTCCCTTCTCCCTTTCTGTGGTCTTAGAAATCAGAGTTAAAAGCTGTTTTTTCTTTCCTCTATTATTGTGTGGGACATACAAAAGCAAGGAGAGGAGCTGACCATCTAAAACATTACAATTCCCATGATCAGCTGACAGGAGTAACACGTATATCACACAAAGGTGAGACTCCAGGAAAAAATCCACAATTACAGATAGACCTCTCTCAAATCAGGGACTAATTAATAATATGGAAGAAGGACAGTGAAGTCCAGCACGTAAACACAAAGTATTTTCCCTTGTTTTCCCTTTTTTCATTATTTTAGAGCAAACTGAATGTTTTAAGGAGTTGAACATCCTTTTAAGATGGTGGCATGCCTGAAAAGAACCACCCCAGTAATTCTCCAACATATAACCTTTTCCATTTTTTCCAGCACTCACAAAACAGCTCATAAAAACAAACCAGAAATTACTTATTCAATAGAACAAAGCATTTTGGATAAACTACTACTAATAAAAAATTATGTCAGTTGGTATTATCTATATTCTGAGATACACATAGAACTAAGTAAAATGTGGAGGTGGAAAGATTCAGCTATTTGTTGGAATAATACTGATGAATGGGCTGAATGGTAAGCTGAATAGTACATTGAGTATTTATTATGCTTAAGTTTATTATGCTTATTTATTATTATAAGTTAGGGTCCCCAAGAGAAAACAGAAGCCAGCACAGTTAAATGTGTACTTCTAAGTTAGATTAAGCATCCTATTTCCCTGCCACTACAGCACCCAAATGTGTAGCATCCTGGCCTGGCTGTCTGCATAGCCCTCCTCCCCAGGGGCAGCTGAACAAGGTAAAAGCCATCACAGGAAAGAAAAAAAAAAATTCAAAAAGGGCTATTTTTAAGCCGATCAGCTCCTAGATCCAGTGCAGAAAGGTGTGCAAGCACCTGTGCGGGCACAGCACAGGGGGCAGGAACAAGTGGCTGGAGATGGAGAAGAGAGGAAGGCAGTGATCAACTAAAGCAGCACATGCAGTGCACCCACTGAGGTTGGGTACTGTGAGAGGTACCACAGGCATACATCACTACTGAAAGGAAGACAGACATGGCTGTTTTGGAGTAAGAACCACCTGAGGGACAGGCTTCCTCAGGTATTGTTTAAAAAAATAAAAAGCAACTCACACAACCAACACCGGCCACGTGGTAATATCCTGACAAAAACTTTAGAAGGAGCAGGCAACTACAGCAAAGCCAGCAAAGAAAACAAGGCCAGAGCCCCCTGACAGGGAGGTCTTGGAGCCAGCACTGTCCCAAGGAACTCCAACTGCTCCCTGTGAGCATCTGTTGCACCACCACAATTCACCCCTGCACAGCTGCATCACACTAGCTCACAGCACAGCACCTCCCAGTCATGCTGCCACAACCAGCCAGGAGGCACAGAGGTGAAAATAGTCAGGGTAGAAAGTTTGAAAGGGTGGTGCCACAAAACTTCTCACACAGTGGAACTGTAGCTCAGAATTACCCTGGATCCTCAAGGCAGGTACCCCCACAGGTACCACCATGGCAGCCAGACTGCAGCATGCATCTGCCCACCTGTGCTAGAACTGAACATCAACTCCCTGCATAGCTATATCCTGTAAGAAAAGCTGGAAAACACATAACAGACAAAAAAATTCATAAAGAAGGACCAGCTATATCACTGGTAGGCAGAGCAACATGAGAGTTACTTGATAACACAAAGAAGTTCACTTTGCAAGGAAGAAGATAATCTTTTCCTTCATTTCACTGGCTTTCAAAATAAAACCACAGGACTGCATCTTTGCTATACTGTTCTTTCACGTAATCCTTTTATGCCAGAAAACACAAAGAAAGTTACAGCAAATATACAGAAAAGCTGTCTCTCAGTGAAGCCAATCCATGGAACACTTAGATTTTGATTAGCTATTGTATTTAGTAAGCTAGTGATTGTTACTGCATTGCTGAGTATTATAACATGTATACTAAAATGCATTTGTAAGGAAATGTGAGCACCTTACTATGGTAGCCTTTTAAAGAAAGTAGTTGTTTCTGTGAACAGAACAACATAGCACAAAAACCAGGCACTTCTCCTCTGTATCAAATCATAAAGCTCAAATTTTATACCTCCAGGCTGAGTACCTGTTGACTTTTAAGTTTCTCCTTGGGTGAACAGCACCTGTAGACATCAGGGACACTCATAAATAAAATTATCTTAAGTCTGCAGAAAAAGGTACTCACATCTTTCCTCAAACTGGGAATAAAGATGCAGTAAACACAGACAGCTGGACTTAGAACCTGTGCATCAGCTAGAAAGCTTGCAGATCAAACCAGATACCTGTTTTTGTGAAGGTATGGGAGCGGGAAGACAGCAAGGAGTAAATGACTACTTTGAGGAGCATAATGGGAGGACAACTGACAGCAGCGAGGAAGACTGCTCAGAAAACTCAGGAGTCATCGTACCGTGCTCCTCGCACCGAGGGAGGAAGAGAGGAAAAAAAAAATCTGTTCTGCTAACAAGCTTCTGGCCTTATGTAAAGTTTCTGGGCTACAATTTTCTGCTATTATTCTGAAGTGTCAAGTTGACCTCTGTTAATTCAAATGACTGTTAGAAATTCCTGTAAAAGTTGCATTGTAGAAATTCCAAGGCCCGATTAGAGTCAGAGCCCTGCTGTGTTAGCCAGACTACAAATACAAGAACATAGTCCACACTCTGAAAAGCTTCCAGTACAGATTGTGTTAGCCAGACTACAAATACAAGAACAGAGTTAGTCCACACTCTGAAAAGCTTCCAGTACAGAGAATACTAGCGAGGAAATAGGAAAAGAGTATATAAGAAACCTGTCACAAAACCAGTAGTGTTAGTTCCCCTCCTAATGTTGGGGAGGGAAGGAGGAAGAGGAAGGAGACAGAGAATATACACAGCAGATACACAATACCGAGATGGAACATATTTTTTCTATTGAAATAGATGCACAACAGGTGCCCACAACAGCTCTCTATTATATTATTAACAAAGATTTGAACCTTTCTGAATAATAATAAGAAAAGTTCTCGTTCCTACATGCTCAAACTGGCACAAATAGGTAATACCTAACACATAAGGACATGGAAGAAAACAAAACTACCACCAGTGGAGCAGAGGGGGCTATAAAGACTAACAGCTTGTCAAAAGGAAACATTAGCTAATTCCCACAGAGTTTTATTTCTGCAGGAGTCAAGGTCTCGCACGCTTTTTTACAGTCTTTTCAAAGAATCATAAGCCTCATTTAAGTTTAGACTTTGTTTCCTCTAAATTAAAGTTTTCCAAATCTTTCTTACTATAATTATCAGTTTTATTTTGTTTTTAAGCATAAGTTGTATGCCAGTAAACTGCGGCGAGCAATTCTGACAACAATTTCTAGGTCACCCAAGATCACCATATTTGAAAGGCAATCTCTCACTGGTGCGTTGGTATATGAATTAAAGCATTTCCACCATAAGCCACTGAGAACTCTCTGCTCCCACAGGAATCAGCAAGCAGGAAGGATGCCCAGAAACTCTTGAGATTAATTCACTTGAAAGAGGCATATCATTCTCAGATGGTTGCAGGAAGGGTTGTTTTTTTTTTTTCTTCCTTGTTTCCATCTGCCTCTTACATCACTTTCACCAGAAATGAGAAGAGAATCACAGAATGGCTGAGGCTGGTAGGGCTCTCTGTAGGTCATCTGGTCCAACCCCCCTGCCCAAGCAGGGCCACCTAGAGCCAGTTGCCCAGGACTGTGCCCAGATGGCTTCTGAACATCTCCAAGGACAGAGACTCCACAACCTCTCTGGGCAACCTGCACCAGTGCTCAGTCACACTCCCAGTAAACACGTGTTTCCTGATATTCAGAGGGAACCTCTGGTCCTGACGAAAAGCCAGTAATCAACATTCCAACTCCTACCATCACCATGAGATGAACTGAACATGTATCATCTTCCTTCTTATTATTTACAGATGTGATAGGATCAGCAAAGAAGACTAAATTAACTAGCAACTCAGGAACACAAAACTTGATAAAACACAAGGCTTGAAAAAACAATATTTTGGGTTTTGTTTCACTAGAAAATCCTAAATCAGCACTGAAGGTAAATTACCTCAGTCATTAAAAACGTGACTTCTACAATATTTAATATTACAATTTAATACCAATTTGAATATTTCTATTGTATGAAAGACAGGGATCAAGCTCTGTGAAAGAACTGTCCTCTGGATGTGCCCATTCTATGTGCAATAGCAGCAAATGCTTCACAGAGCACTATGGAACAACTATGAAGGAATGATTTTTCATTAGCCATTTTACACTTTGAGGGTATACGCTCACAGTCCCAAATTTTGGGTTTCCTAGTATTCAAATGGGTTGTTATTTCATCCTTGCTATATGAAGTTTCCAACCTATTGTCTTAAAAATTGTTTCAATGAAGACAAAAACAACTCCCTCCATTCAGACAGCTGTGATTTCTGTTATTTCTCTCATTTTAGAATTAGTAAACCCCCACTTTTTCCCATTCTCTCATTTTCCATTTTGGAATTTCACTTCTGTTTCTGTGGTATTCATCTGCAGTAATTAAAACTGAATTCACTCTCCCATTGTAGACCGAATCTAGACAATCTCTTTAATATTTTTAATAAAAAGACCACATGGTTCACATCTTTTTCCTCCCATCTCCTTCTTATTAAGTATTATTTTTAAACTTCTTCATTGTGTCACGACATCCCGTGAAGTTCTTTAATTAAGCAAACAATAAAAGCAAACCAAAAATATAATCCTTTCAAAGCATATCAGTGCCAAAGGAAACAAAAATGTGGTGAAATTACTGTGCTCATCATCATCAGTCTCTTCTGTAACCATCATCATCAGCTTTTCCTCTGAGCACCCCACAAATAACCTTTTCCATCAGGTGTCACAACCACTGTAACAACAATACCATAGATCTAATAAGAACACCAACTTTCATTCTTTATAAAGGAAGGTTTATAAAAAAAGACTCATCTTGAATAAAATGGTAAGGTATATTTAACTTTCTCTCTACAATCATCAAGTAGAAGATACTTAATCTTCAAAAAATATATAAGGAAATTAATTGCTTCACATTATTGTAACCTAGAATAATTTTACCAAAAAGGAAGAGCATACCTTTATGATATGCACTCCATGCTGCAATTAATATCTTACAGTTTAAGTAAGTAGAAACAGTAACATTCACAGAAATTCAAATTCATTACCTTGGCTAGCTCAATCTTTAACTCTTCTTTTTCTTCTTCAGAAATCATACTGGTGAAATCAACATCAGTGACCACATCTTCATCTGCTTCATGCAAAGACTGAGTTTCCAACAGGCCTTAAAGTAAAGAATTAAAAGGTCAAGACAACCATTTCCAATTATTTCAGCTAGATATTGACCTCCCCTAAAATCCAAGAATGATATAATATTCACCCACTAGGAAAAAAAAAAAAAAACAACAAAGAAAAACAATACAACCTTTTCCTGCTAAAGGTCATTTGGATTCTGCTCCTCTTTGAGTCTGAAAACCTACTGGAAGTATCAGATGGCAGTGTCTGCACAGAAGCAATTTAATATGTGAAAGCACCACTCACTCCCAGAAAGCAATCACCTTGGACCCCACTAGTCCCTGACAAAGCATTTCCTTATTTCTAACAATAAATTTTTAAAAAGGAAAAAAAAAAAAAAAGAAAAGAAACCTTTTTCTTCAAAATAAGAAAGCTGGTTAATGTGGATCACTGATGTGAATAGTGGCAATAGTGCACTGAGCAATGTAGGAAGTACATTACCGAGCCAAGTTTACTTTAAAAGTCCCTCTGATTTCAGCAATTTGAGAACAGTTGTACGCAGTCTGCAGATGTAAAGGCCAAACCTACTGTGTGAGTTGGCTAAATGTTAGAGAGAAGCATTCCTTTATCACTCAATCTAAACCTATGAATGACAAACAATTATACTGGACCTCCAGTTACTTTCTTCTTCTTCATGTCCAAGACCAGATCAGTATGTATGATAACCAAGAGAAGCACATACATAAATGTTTGTGAGACCTGGGCCTGCCTAGTATAATATATATGGAGGAAACAAAATACACGCTGCCTCCCAATCATTCAGTAAAGAGAAGAATGATTGCTGGGGTCCCAGCTATTTAATAGCTTCTCATTCTTAATTGTCTGCAAAGAAAATGATGCAAAACATGAGAGAAGAGAAAACATTCTTGCTCCTTTGGAACTTGTTTTAAAGTTCTTGATCTCCTTTTGTTATGGAAGAAAATTCTTCTCCAGGCTACATCTGGGGACAGCACTTTTCCCTGTATTTCAATTCTTTAGCGGGGTAATCGGCCATCTCATCTGACTCCTGACATCTATATATTGCTTAATACAGAAGAGAGCAATTTCTTTCCCAGGTCCACAGAGGCTTGTATACTCTATTACATAGAGATCAGAATTTAACTTTGTTAAGTTTTGGCAGTAGGGAATAGAGGTTACAAGCTGCAAGTCTGGAGTATTCAACAACTTGAAATTGAGTGCTTCATATTTTATTGCAGAAAGCAAGACTCCCTCCAGCTTTCTGTCATTTCTTCCACCTAGAGTCCCCCAGTGTACCCGGGTTTCCTCCTACTTAACAGAACAGAACTGATTTGATTCATACCATCAAACTTACTGCAGAGCACAATATGGTGAACTCAGCCCTGTTAATTACAGCCACCCTGGAGCGTGAAGATAAAGAGCAGCAACACAGGTGCTGAACCCCTGCCTGGCACCATACATAAGAAGAGAGCACCACCCTTAAGTACAAAACCTTTTAAAAACCATGAAAACATATAGAAGTAGTTGACACCTTAGCTATTTCCCAAAAAGCAGCTTGCCAGGAAAACCTCGATTGCCGAAGTCAAAACAAAAGAAAAGCACATTTATTCAGTAGGAATACTCTGAAATCACCTTTATTCTACACCCCTCCATCTCTAAATACAATTGTTGTTTGGTATTTGTTTGAGGATTAATAGTGTTGCTATGGGAATCAGGCTAAACTTAGTCCCCATGGCCTTGAAAGAAGTCTTTTTTTTTTTTCATGTGTGGAGGAGCAGCAGTACAGGGCCGCTCTTAGAAACACTAGGAAGAATTTCAGGGGCAACAGGGTTAAGGCTGAAAACCTAAAGGAAAGTCTTGGGGTAGGTGTGAGACTAGGTGATCTTGGAGCAACTGATACTTGAGCTAAAAAGAAAGCAGATCTGTGCTCAATGGACAGCATTAGTTTGGGATTGGCTAGGTAAAGAGGCCAGAATTGCTGGTCAATGGTCAGATAGAGATGGAAGCCAACATGGGCCAGAATCACCAAAGGCGACTGAGTAACACTCAGCTAGACCCCATAGTCAAGTTCAAACTTCAAGACTGAACTGAAATTACAATCTATTCCAAATAGCACATTCGTATCAATCTTCTGCATGATCCTCACCCAGTGCCAATCCTGATTCTTATCTCTTGCTTCTCATCTACATCCTCTAAAATCTAGTCTGATCCTTCAGTCTCCACTTTCTTGCTCAAGTCACTCTCAGAGTCCTCCCTAACGGTCACTGTCCCTCTGCAAAGACTTTGCTTCAGTCACCTCATAGCTCCTGTCTGAACATCTCTCCACCATACTGTGGGTCTCAGTCTTCTTTCAGCCAGTCTCAGTGCTGAAACTTCCGCACATGAGCCCTATTACGAGCAACCTCCTCTCTCACTCTTCCCTTGCTGTTCTCAGTCTCTGTCTTTCCTTCGTGATCTTTGTTTTTCCCAGCCACATCTATTAGCTCTCAGTCCTGGATTTCATCTTCTGCTGCCATTTTACTCTGTTGAAGACAGCTTCCCTGGTTTCCTCTCACTACTTATGACTGACCACTTCAGTCCTGGGCCAGGTCTATCAGCATAGGCAGGATGTTTCAGTTCTAGTGCTTGGTCATCTGAACTTCTCAGTCTCTTTTCCCCACTTGAGCAACAGAAACTCATTCCTTGAATCTGACCTGAAAAGGTCTCTTCACCAGCATCTGGGGCGACCCTCACAGACCACTTCTCTAACTTGCCTGTCTTAGTCTTCAGCGTGGGAAGGGGAGGAATAAAAAACTGAACACATTAGGAAGAACACAGGCTTCCTCAGGCAGGAGAGATCTCAACTCTTTCCATCTATTGAGAATGTAAACATAAAATTCTGTCCCTGTGGTTTATATCCTAGAGAATTTAGCATCCACAATTTCAAGCAATTGTGCAGCAAAGCATGCAGGCAAGGGTCCCAAGACTTTGTCATTCTTAGTACTTTTTAATTTATGTGTCTGTCCCTATTTCCCCTCTAATAACCACTGAGTTCTGTATTAGATTTCAGAATTAGAGGTCTCTTAAAACGAGTTTAATGAAAACAGTCAGTTGGTAGAGAAGATTTGAAGTGATTTCAGACAGAGAGAATAATAGATGAGCTCATCCTTATAAGAGGTATCACAGAAATCAAATAGGGAAGAAGGGTCATTCATAAAATGTGTTTTACAACAACAGAAAAAAAAATGCCCAAGTTTGTACTTTCAGGTATCAGAGCATCCATTCCACCAAAGCACACCTGTGGGGTTCTTACAGCACCTCACCCAGCAAAAAATCAGCACGGCCTCAGGAGGAACTTGAGTATTAACTTGATTCAAGGAAGTCAGTCAACCACAAGACACAAAACCATAGGAAATTAGGCTATTGACATTTTCCTACTCTTAAGATAACTTGTTAGTTTTGCAGTCTCCAAGGAGAATAGGAACCTGTAGCAAAATTCACACCAATATATATAAGAATTGGTAATGATTTTGGTAGCAAAACAGCCCCTATTGCTAGTATTGCTGACCCCAAAATATTCTCCCACCTTCTACTCTGTGCAGGAAGCACAGTCTCTTCTCAACCTTCCCTGTAGGGTCCTTTCAACTAGGCAGCCTGGGAAATATACCTTTCAGACACTGGTTGTAGATGCATCAGGTACAGAAGCATAATAGAATAAAAGAGCTCAGTGGGATTGCTGATATATCTTGAATTAAACACATGAGTAATTCTTTAAGAACCAAGGAACAAGGTAGGAATCTATTTAGTGTGTTTAATCTAGCTATACATTTTGTTAAACACACTTAATCTAGCAATTCATGAAGACACACACAAGGATGAGTTAATTCAGCTAAATGGTTAGAGCTGAGTCCTAGAATCTAAGTATTTCTCCACACTATATAGAAGAATGCCAGATTTAAGCATCTAAAAGCCAGAATTTTAAGATAACACTGCATTTTTATACTTCACCATGTACGTTCAATTCCAACGATTATGTACTTCACCCAGGAAAAAAGAAATCTGTACTCTAGCAGTGCAGACATTCATCTGTATGCACGTACATTCAGTTTATACACACAGCTCCTGCAGCTGAGCACACTGGAACACAGCTCTTGTTAGTTTCACACTTCTTCCTTCAGGTGCAGAAGGAACTTAACTGGCTTCCAATTCACCTGGAATTAAATATACCTACATAGTATATATCTACATAGATAACTATATATCTACACATAGCCATAATGTATCTTTAGTTATATAAATAATCTGTAACTTCTCACAGGAACTAAAATGCAGAATGGCATTTTGATCAGATGGCATATAATTGCTTTTGCAGCACACCTTCTTTTCCATTTGCTGATCTTTAGACAAAACTCATATTTTCCTTTAAATTTAGGCTGTCTTAAATAATAGTATTAAAATTATCATTAGTTGCTTATTAAAATAATCTTATTGGGAATCTGCGAATCTGGTCAGGTAATATTTCAAGGCTCTGTTTTCCCAATAGTTTACTGAAAGTATGGGGAAAGTGTAAAATTAATTGAAATCATTCTCTTAAAATTTATAGGATTAGGGAAACTACTTATTACTTACTAAATCTCAGTTAAGGCTCCTTCTGACAAAATATAGGGAGCATAAAATTCCGAAGTGGAACATTTCCCAATGGCTAGATTAGTTTTCCATATGAAGTGACAAACATATGCCTGGTCAGAATCATTTCTGCCAAATTACCAACTGGTTTTATGTGCAGGAAACTAAAGCAGTTTTACCTACGTGCTGACAAAAGACACGACACTAAAAGAACCTACTCTGCCAGGGTTCCTACTCCTGATTATTAAATTTGACTTCACTGCACTGAGACTCACAGTAATTCTAGATCTGGAAGATACCTGATACTCCCCAGACCAATACATAATGATGCTTTTTTAATCCTGCTAAATCATAGAATGACAGAATGGTATGGGTTGGAAGGGACCTTAAAGATCATCCAGTTCCAGACAGCCCCTCTTCTTCTGGCCTAAAATTACTGGAGATGAGATCTGAAGGTCCCTGTAGTCTCATAAAACCTTATGTTCCTTCAACAAATTACACTAATAATATACTCATGTGTAACTCATCCTCCACAAACATGCAGACTAGTGATTGTCTGGATGTATGTTACTTCAAAAGAAAAAAAAAAAAAAAGCCCCCATAAAGTATGGGAAAGCATAAAAGCATACACTAGGTATCAATAAGTGCAAGGAGCTGCTTGGCTTGTACTTTAAAGACAGTTTTAGTACTTACTGTCACACATAATTGCAGGAAACATTAAAAGTATGGGATTATCAGTAATTAGGAAGTGCAAGTCATACAGAAGGATCCAACTCAAAATGATTGGGCAGACAACATTTTGTACTGGGAAATTTATACAGAAAACACATGGACCTGTTAGAACAGGTTTTACATGGACCTGTTAGAACGAGTCCAGAGGAGGCCACGAAGATGATCCAAGGGCTGGAGCACCTCTCCTATGAGGACAGGCTGAGAGAGTTGGGACTGTTCAGCCTGGAAAAGAGAAGGGTCTGGGGAGACCTTATAGTGGCTTTCGA